AACACTCAAAGTCAGTTTCATCTATGAACAGTTCATATACACTCTTGTTTGCTTCTAACAATGTTTGTCTCTCTTCGGTATGTGGAATTTGTCTTGGATTGAACTTTGAAATATCTAATGTCATGAAATATGAGAACAAGTGGTTGTAAAAGTTAGTGTCAAAGTTTCTGCTAAGTCGTCAAAATATTCTGTATCTTGCATATGAGAATCTGACGTTCTGACAACTACATATCTTCTGTCAGAACTTTCTAACTTCATCGGAACGGCATTGTTTGAAACCATGACGAAGTTTGCAACATTTTCACAAACTCTTTGGTCTTTATATTTTCTTTCAACAACTCCAACTTTGTCTGTTATAAGACTCTTCAAAGCATCTGAGTTTAAAACCTTTGTTGTATCTATACTTTGAAGTTCGTTACATACTATAAGTTTCATATTCTCTATTGAAGAGTTAAATTTACCGCAGATGTTTTCTAAGTTTGTCATATTCGGGTTCGAATAACCTTCTAACAGTTTGCACAAAATATCTGTAAAGAAAGTGTTCTTACCTGTTCCTTGTTTTCCAATTATGATGAGAGCAGTTTCATTTTTAGCACTTGGATGTTGTAAGATGTTTGCAAACCAACATAAGATATACTCATAGACTCTTTCGTTTCCATTGCATATAATTTCTTTGACATGGTCTAACCAAGCTTCTATAACATTTTCTTTCCATTCTACTTGTTCGTATTTATATCCAGTGAAGATAGAATAGAAGTTTGGAGATGGTGTATAGAACTTTATACCACGAACTGAAAAATCTTCAAGTTTTGACAATAAGATATCCCAAGCATCTAACATCTTCATGCCAACTTGTACGACTTTTATTTTCTTAAGTTTCTGTTTACATTCTTGTTCTGAAACTATTGTCGCTTTAGGTTTGTTAAAGACTACATCCCATTCTTTCATAACATAACATTCTGGGGCAGAGTCGACATAAATGACTAAACGTTTCAAATTCTCGACTGCTTTGTTATAGTCTCTAAATGGACACATATTTCTGAAGGCTTGGAAGTCATAAAAATCTGAAACGTCTATTCTGTACATTTTTATAAAAATAAAAAAAATATTTTTTTATTCTTGACTTTGTTGTTGCATTTGTTCCATTTGTTGCATTTGTTGTTCTTGAGCTATTTGTTGTTGAAGTTGTTCTTGTAGTACAATACTTTCACCAGTTGCATCTTCCAATTCGAAACTTTCTGCCGTCATTGACAAATACATAGGACATAAAAGTTTTACAGGAACAAAGTTTGCGTCAACTAAGGTTAAGTTTATGTTTGCTAAAGTGTTTGAGTTTACTAAAGCTGAAAACTCTGCATTCGAATGAACAATAGGCAAACCAGCAGAGAAAGTGTTGTTTATACGCATGAGTATCTTTTGGTCATAGTAGTTTCTGTCGACATTCGAATAGCACTTTGAACCTAAGTTTGAAACAATATATAAAATAGGTGTACTTAAAGTCAATGGAACAGACAAACCTTGTATGACACCTTTTCCTGTTATAGGAAACTGTTGGTAGTAAAAACCAGATATAAGTTTTGTATTATAGCTCATATCGTTTATACTAAACTCAGTCGGACATCCAAACATAATGAAACCTGCTCTAGTTGCAGCACATGTTACATCCGTCCTTAAAGTATTAAATAAGTCAACAAAACCTGTTGGTGGTATATCTGAGTAAGTATCTTCAAAGGAGTATTTTTTACCATTCACAACAACAAAGTCTTCTGGTGTCAAAAGAGCAAAACAGGCTTTAGTCGTCATCGTGTTTAAGGTCAGTTTACAATATCGTCCTTGAGGACTTTGTAAGTTTGTTGTTATAGAATTATATGACTCAGGGTTTTTAGTCGTAATAGTATAAACCACTATGTCTTCTGCCATTTACATATATTTAAAAGTTTTTCTGAAAGTGGAGAAGAACTTCATCTAAACTTTCACATGGCGTTTCTTGAAGTTCTCTGTCTAAGAAGTTCAAATATTTTGTAAAGACATAGAACTTTCCTTTGTCTACACGAACAAACAAAACAGGGTCTTTCATATCGTTCAAAAGTGTGTAAAGTCCTTTACATGAAATAAAGTCTATATTGTTTTTCTTCAAACATCTTTCAAGAAGTTTTGACATTTTTACTTAGCAAACAAACTTTAATGAAATGTTGTGGTCGTCAAATATTTTTATGACGTCTGGGAAACTATATTTTAAGTTCAACGTTTCACCTCCTTTCATAACGTATATCTTGTCAATGACATTATATGAAACACCACAGCAAGCAATGTCGGGTTCTATTTCTTTGATGTTTATATCGTCTGCCTCTGTCAAAAGTTTCAATAGTTCTTTCAAAACTTCATGAGGTGCAATGACATATGAGTTCACTTTTACAGGGTTGTGCTCAACCAAGTTTAACATTAAACCTAAAGCTTGACAAATCTTCTCCTGAGTTTTAAGTTTGTCTTTAAGTTGTTGGTAGTCGTTTCGAATATCTGCAACAGAACTTAAGTCTCTGCTAACTTCAGGATATGTTGGTTGTTCTTTTACAGGAACTATTGTTATACCATCTTCGTCTTCGTATGGTTTCCCCACTTCAACATCTCTTTCTTTGACATTGACAACAACACTTTGACTGTTTGTTTGAGTTGGTGAATTTAACTTCACGTCTGCCACCGCCATTAAACCTTTTGAAACACTTACGCTTCTATTTTTCGGAAATGACATTTTACTTAGAATAAAAAGATGGACGTATTTGAGTATCTCTTCGAATTGAAGCAAAACAAAGTTTACACACACAAACAATACAAGTTCATTGACAGAATAGTTCTTTACACAAACAATGGAAAATGTTATAGAATAGCAGTCTTTGCTGAACCAAAATATTTTCATAAAGCAAAGAAAGTTGGTATAACCGAGATGGTGAAAGTTCATGAAGCAGACAAAAATATAACAACAAAACTGACCGATATTTCTAAAGGTAAGTTTTTAATACAATACTATGTCAAAACTGGCGTACTGTCAATATTTGACGGAGAGAAGTCAGTTCAAGAACAACTTACTGACCTGCTGCCAAAATCTGCTCGATGGAAGCTGTCGTTATGCCAATCTGAGGAGCCCCAGCAGGTTTCATCGAACGAATCTTCAAAAGAGCATCTTCCGTGAAAAGTGCTATTGGTTTTGTAAACTTCTTTGCTTTCAATTCATCTGGACCGTCTCTGTCACCAGTATATTGTATTTGAACTGTACCAACAGTTGAAATACCACCCATAAAGTCTTCTGAGTCAGCAAATGGAATGCCAAGCCAAAAGTTTGAACGGTCTCCATTTGTATATTGAGTGTTTTGACCTCCTGTATGAGTCCATACTTTCACATATGGCATAATAGAACTTTGCATTTCAGGGTTAATGGTTGTTGTGAAGTTGTTGTTAAAGTTCATAGCATCTAATGTCAAGTTGTATGACCTCATATCCTCAACTGTAGAATATTCTTCTCTTGGATAATATTTGCCATCTATGTTTATATGATATTTAATACCAGGGTTGTAGAAACAAGAATAGTCATTTATAGTTCGTCTGAAAAGAACAAACATAGTATCTGCATGTTTCATTGCAGTTGTTAAGGCAATATCTGTTCTTGCACCTGGGTCAGCACTTTGGTTTCCAACTTCACCTGCAAAGTCTTTGACAGATATTTGGTGTATAGGGAACATAAGTGGAACTGCAATATATTTGGCAGCTAAAGCATTTGAAATATCTGGGTCCAACATATAGACTGCAAGTCTGCTTTCTATTCTCTTGCATTCAAACTTTTCGCATGTGAACTTAACTGGGTCCCAAGCAGTTCCAGCAGCATTGAAATATAGTTTACTTCAGTGTTGAGGTTTGAGAAACCAAAGTCTAAGTCAACTTTGTCTTTGCAAAAGTCACAGAACTTGGCTCCACCAGTTCCAGCTACAGTAAGAGTGAATGGGTCTTGTGTTGGTGCAATGACTAAGTTATTTTTGCTTGGAGTAAGTTCGATAGAAATTTTTCCTGCCCAGTTTGGCAAGTATCTTAAAAACCTGAAGATGAGGAAAGATGACAAAGGAACTCTAAGTTTCAATTTTACTTTAGTGGTAGCAGTTCCATCTGAACCAGAAAGGTTAACATAAACTCCTGGAACGTTAGGGTCAAGTCTTCTTATTTTCTCAATAGTTGCATACTGGTCTGTTTGTTCTCTAGCTTGTGGTTGTACTGAGTTTCTCAAAGCGAACCATTCATAGTTTGCCCATGTTACTGTTTGAACTAAGTCAGAGTTAGAATATATCTTATATCCCATGAAAACTTCTGGAGCATATTGGTATCCGACATAGAAAATTCCATTGCAACCTTTCTTGTCAGACAACTTGGCAGAAGGTTTTATTTCAATGTCTTGTTCCACGTATAAGAATGAGTTGTCAATAGAAATTATATGAAACCTGTCGCAAGCAATATCTACTGTTGTTGAAGAACCTTCTCCAAACTCACCTACGTTTCCATAAGAAACAGCAGTTGTATATTCGTAAGTTCCAGGAACTATTTCTGACCTTCTAATGGCATTGTCGCATTCGTTATACCATTCGGAAACATTTCCATTCATAGCATCCAAAACTGTTGGCGTTATATTCTGAGCGGCGTACATTTCATATGGGTAAAAATATAGAATAGTTGGATTTATATGTCATAATAGAACCCACGTGGACCAAGCTTTACTTTCTTCCTGACTGAGTTTTTAACTCTTCTTTTTCCTTCATTGCCACTACTTTCACTAGATGAAGTTACTTCTTCACTACTTTCACTTTGTTCTACTCTTCTCTTCTTCTTTGGTGTCGCTTTTGGTAACTTGCCCTCTGCTTCAAGTTGTTGCATCTTTGCCTCATGTTCACCTAGTATGTTGTAAATTTCCCATGTCCTTTTTGCCTTTGGGCTCTGGTCGCCCATCTCAGGTAACCTATATCCTAGAAAGAGTTTGTCATAGTTTGTATTTGAGTCTTTGCGTATTGTTTGCATGACTCTTTCCTGAGTTTCCGGTTCAAGCTCTTCAAACAGTGCCTGTCCATATGGAATATGCTCGTTTCCAAATATATGTTTTTGTAGCCATTCTGGTTTTCTTTCCATGTTACCAACTATATCTTTTGTGAATGGGAAAGCTTTTACCCAATCTTTCAGTCTTGCGTCGTTTATTTCTGTAGTTGGTTTTATTTTGTCAAGGAACATGTTTTTCAATACTAACATTTCATTTGGTACTGTCCATTTGAGTTTTCTTAAATATTCATCCCTTCTCAGTTCATTGTCTGCAAAGTAAGTTTTTATGACATTTTGCAAACTTTCATTTGCAAGCTCATGTACAATAGGTTCTCTTCCTTCTCCCTCCCTAACTTTCTTTCTAAACTCTTCACCAAATATACCATCTCTATGGTTCTGTGTAGTTCTTTGAGATAAATGTTCTAGAACGTCAGGTGTTATATTTCCATCAGCCATGTTCATTTCATACTGGTCCAAAATATCTGCATGTTTCATATCTTTCAATGGCATTAAAGCCGCGCTTAAAATACCAGCTATATCTGGTTCACCATTGACTTCCATTGCGTCTACAACTTCTTGGAATTGTGGTTGTAAGTTTATGAACCACCTATCCGGGTTAGCTTTATGACCCCATCTCATTGTAGTTCCATCGTCTGCAGAAACAAAAGTAGGTTTGTTTCCATTTGGTTAGGTTCTGAATGAACTTTAAACAATGTTTCATTTCTATATGTTTTTCTTGAAATTTAACCTTTTATTTTCACCGAGTTCATCCGAAGATTGAACGTTAAATGCTCGTAAGTAAAAAGGGTTGTTGTATTTGTGTACATTTTCTTTCAGTACTTCCATTCTATGCTGAATATTTTCATCTGGTGTTGGAGTCTTTTGTATGTCGGCAAACATTTTTCGATATTCTTCTACTATGTCAGCCGAATTTTTTTTAGACTCTTGGAAATATTCCATATTCTCCGCATACTCTTGTTGAGGGTCAAGATTTTTCGGCTGTTCCAAATCTTCATCTAGTTCTGTGAAGTTAGTTTCCAAAGGAGGACTTGTTCGTTTCCTTCAGGCTCTTCTAGCTGTTGTTCTGAACTATTTCTTCCATGTCTGGTTGTATCTGAACTAGTTTCTTCCTGTGGAGTTTCTTGTACCTCATCTGCTGGCATTTCATATATTCCGAGACCGTTTTCAACAAGTTCCCTATTTAAGTCATTCGCATTCATAAGCCTTTGTTCTTTCGTTCCGTCTCTATTTTTTACGCGTTTCATGAAGATAGTTAAATTGTCATTTAGCTCTGACACCAAATATCTCGGAGTAAATTCGTTCATGTCATTTGGATGATATGCTATTAAATCATATCCCTTTGCGAGCTTGTATTTTCCAGGTTTGAAATTATATCCGATTTGGTGTTGAGCCATAAAGCTAAATAGGTTCGGGTCAGTATTTCCTTCCTTGAACTTTCTAATAGCTTCTTTATATCTGTCACTAAAGTCAAGAGTATCTGGGTAACCATAGTCTTCTTTAAGCATTTTTAAGAAATCTTGGTTTCCTTGTTCTCTACTTCTTTTATGTCCTTGCTCTGTTTGTTGTTGTGGTTGTTGTGCTGGGTTTTGAACTGTTGGTTGTTGTGCTGGTTGTGGAGGTGGTTGTTGTGTTGGTTGTTGTGCAGGGTTTTGAACTGTTGGTTGTTGTGCAGGGTTTTGAACTGTTGGTTGTTGTGCTGGTTGTGGAGGTGGTTGTTGTGCTGGTTTTGGTGCATGCCTGTGTCTGTGTCCATGTGACGATGTAAATGTTTTAGGTAGTCCTGGTGCAGGTGCTTCTCTTGGAGGGTTTGGTGGTATATAAGTTCCACTAGCTAGTATATAAGTTCCACCAGCTGGTATATAAGTTCCACCAGCTGGCACATATGTTCCATCTGCAGCGTAATGTCCTACCTGACTTTTCGTTTTTAAGAAAGCATTTACTAGGTCTGTTTTGGTCTGTTGTAACTCTTTTTCTTGACTTTCCACAACAGTTGCTCTAACGGCGTCATAGGCACTTTGAACTGCCTGTCTCGTTGCTGCATCTGTTATTTTCGTCATATTTTGTGCTACTTCTTTTAACTCCTTGTCGAAACCTTCAGACTTCAGTTTCTTTCCAGATGAGAAATCGTTCACTTGTTTCACCTTACTATGAAGAGCTTCGAAGGCGTTCTTAAAGTCAGCATTTGTTAAAGCTTCATTTGAACTGTCTTCATCCGCTTGTATTTTTGTCCTTATTGACCCTATAAGCTGGGCTGCTTTAGCGTTGGCTTGGGCATCTACCCAGTCATTGTTAGCTTTTATATATTCTGCGCTTTTCATTGCCTTTTGCATGGCTGCGTCGCTATTTTTACTTTCTTGTGCTAAGTTTTCATACTGTACGGTTTGGTTTTGCAACTGTAAAAGTTTTTCTGCCTTTACATTTGCTTCAACTTCCTTTTTATACTCATCGCTATCCATATATGTCTTCAGGGCTTTTTGTTTTATCTCTTCATCTTTCAGTACTTTATATTGAGTAGTATGGTTTTTCAAATTTAAAACATCTTGTTCCATTTTTGCTACTTCTGCTGCTTTTTCTGACACTTTTTTCGCATATTGCTCTGTACTTAGTTCTTTCAGTTGTTCTTCTTTCTTCTTTTTCTCTACGTTTAACTCATTGAGTTTCTTTGTGTGTCTGTCATATTCTAGTTTCTTTTCGTTTTCACTTATTTGCTTCTGTATGTCTATGTTTGACTTTTTGACATCTGTTATTTGATTTTTGAGTGAACTCAAATTCATTTGACTTTGAGGGTTATAGGCTGTTCCGTCTGCAGCTCCACCATAGCCTGCCATTTTCGCTAAAAGTGCCGCTCTTAAACCTCCACTCTGTGCACCAATGACTCGGTTTAAAAGCATAGGATTGCTTGACATTTGTTGCAACATAGTGGGGTCATTCATCATTTGTTGTTGCAACTGTTGTTGTGGTGTCAGTCTTACTATTGGATGTTTCAATGCTCTCTTCCTCTTACGTATATTCTTACGTAGCTTACGTGGCATTTTAAGTGAAGTTAAAAAGCGGTTTTATACTAAACATCTTCGGGGCTAGAGGGCACGAAGTGCCTGGAAGCCCCAATACTTTTTTTTGAATAGTATATCAACCTGACCAATTTATCCAATTCGAGGAAATATAAAATACGTTAAATTTTTTAAATAACTTTACATTTTCCCCAAAAAATGAAACTTAAAATATAAATGCTTATATCATTACTAAGAAAAATTCATTATAAATAGATTTTTGTTTTGTGTATTCAAAGATGTATCGTAATGTGAAATAGTGATAGATTTTGTTAGTTCATTATGATAATCCATGATCAATTTTTATATTTAAAAAATTCAATTATTTGTAGAGTTTTATCAGCTTTTTAATTTTTTTATCATCCTTCCAAAATCAATGATAATAGTGAAAGGAATATAATACACAGAAAATTTTATTTCTTAGATAACTATCAAATTGAAATGACACTGAAAAGTTGATAGTGTAATCAATTAGGTTATTTAGGCGAAAAGATATGAAAATAATATATTTGCAGCATTTGACATCAACGACACTCGATCATTATCATCAAAAGTGATAAACAATTCCAATTCAATTTTTGAACTATCAAAACTTTGCCGATAAAATATTTGAATAATGCTACCATTGCTTCTACTTGGCGCAAAAGCTGCCCTCTTTCAAACATGGGAAGTTGGTAAGTCTGATAGAGCCTTCGACTTCAGATATAGGAACAATAGTCGAACAACTTACCAAAATTATGGATGGAGAGTTCAACTAAGAACAAACACAACAAACCCAAATGATTCAAACAGCAATATGACCTATACTGCACTTGCAAAAAACAAAGGAATCATCGAAGAAGAAGGTTTGAAACTTGAACCAAGATTTGATCAATCACTTGGAGAGAATTATATGAGAATTATCTTTGATTTGACTAACAACGGTGACGAAGCCAAAATTTTTGATCTAGGTATCTATGCAGATATAAGTATAGGCGAAGATGATAAAGCAACAGTTAAAGCTTTGACAAATGGAATCGGATTCACAATGGAAAGTACAATAGAAGGAGTGGAAAAAGGGGATGTCATTACATTACTAGTTCGCGACAGATATGATGTAACAAATGTTGATTGTTTATACTATGGCAAGTATGATAGTGATAATTCATTAATTGGCAGAAACATGGAAGAACTCAACCCTTTAGTAGGTGTTGATTCAATCTTTGAGATAGGATGGATTAATAGAGAGATTCTTCCGCATTCGAAACAATCATTCAATGTATTATTAGTTATTGGCAAATATACAAGAATTCCACCTATAATAAAGCTCGATGACTTGGAAACATTCAGAATCAAAGGTGACACTGTCACTGTAACTGGAGAATATTCTTCAATCTATAATGATAGCATAATTACACTTAAGTACAAGTATGGAGATACAGACACAGAACATACTGTTGAGCAACATTCTGTCAAAGAAAATGGAAGTCAAAAGCATTTTTCATTCGATTTTATTGCTGGACCAGAAAGAACAAAGAATTTGATTGTTTGGGTTGAAGATGAAGATCATAGAAAGTCCAAAGAAGTGAGCAAAGAAATAACAGCAAATGTACTTCCAACTATTTCCTTTGCAAAAGAACCAGTAAAGACATGTTTGATTGGAGATGAAATTCCCTTCGAAATTCAAGTAAATGATGATAAAAGCGCAAAAATAACATATGAATTTGGTGGAAAAAAGTTTGAAGAAGAGAAATTCACAATACTTGAGAACACCCCACAAACTAAAAAGTTCACATTGAATACAAAGGAGTTGGATGAAGGCAAATACAAACTTGCAATTACTGCTGTTTGATAATGATAATTGTAAATGCAAGAGTGACATTTCATTTGAAATACAAGTTAACAATCATCCAAGACCCATCTTTGAATCAGGACCAAATGTCACATATCCATTAAAGATTGAACCAGGAAGTCAAGTATCAATATCAATGAAAGTAAAGAATCCATCTACAATCAACTATACATTCAAAGCAGAAATTAATGGAGAAATTTACGAATTTGTTATTCCACCTACAGAAAATAATGAAGCCACATATTACTCATTTAACATAACAATTCCAAAGAAATCAGAAAATGCAGATAACAAAGTTGTTATATTCATTATGGATAACAGAAATAAAGAAGTAAGTAAAATTGAAAAGCCCAATGACAAAAAAGAGCAAACAGAAGAAGAGGATCATAGTAAACCTGAAGGCAATACAACATCCGGAGGTGATAATGCAACAGAACACGATGCCAAAAAGAAGAAGAAGCAAATATACATGATAATTGGCGCAGCAGTTGGAGCTGTAGCTCTAATTACTTTAGTAAGTTTACTAATATTCTTCCTTGCAGCAGGAAAACGAAATGAAGAAGAAGAGGAAGAAAACGAAAAAGATCAATATATTGATGCTGTGGATATCAATGAAGAAACTGTTATATCCGCAGAAGATGGTAGAAGCGCAATAAATTCACAAAAAGTTTTCACTCTTGATGTTGAGAACGGTAATGAATTCACACAAGAAGAGTTTGTGTTGTAACAAAAAGTATAAAGTGTTTATTTTAATGAAACAAATAAAAATATATGATTAAATTTATTTTTCGTTTTTTTGATCAAACTTATATGGATTATTAATATAAATAGTATAAAAGATGAATTGTAATAGAATTACCAAAAATTTTGCTAATTATTCGATTTTATAATTTCATTATGATATGAAGTAATAAATATATTTAACATTTGTACTTATTGGTCTTTTTAAGTTCATGGAATGGTGAAGCTTTGTTCTGGAATGCACTTAATATTTCAAATTAGATTTTATCAATTTATGGCACATATTTCACGCTTTCAGTATAATGTTGAATCACTATTAAAATATCTTAAATTTGAATAACATTACCATTTTTCATTACATGAATATGACATAATTGCTCTTATGAACTATGATATGCTACTTCAATATCATAAGCAATACATCTGACATAATATAATTGATTTTTATAAATGTTTTCTTTTTCAAATTCCGTTATTTGCAAAACCATATCTGGTTCATGGCCTTATCTAACAATCCTAGCGACAAGAAGCATTAAAATTATAATATTTCTCTTTAATTTTTAGTCGTTTGAGAAAAATAACTTTGATAAATGCATGAATGCAATTTCAGTATTTAAAAAAGTATCTACGACAAATAATAATTTCCACTATTATATTTAATCGATTTTATATTTAGAGCCTCTCAATATAACAAAAAAATGTAAAAAAGGCCACAAAATTATATTAGTTTATAAATTGAAAAATCAATACCTATTACTTATAACAAACTGATATTATAAACTAAGGATGTCAATTTGGAAGAAAAGTGAGAAAATTCCTAAAATGCTAAAAATGAATTTTCCAAACATGCTTTTTTATCTCATTTTTTTGATTTTGAAAAAAATTTGGAGAGAAGAACTCTTCGTTTTTGAATTTTATCACGATGGTTTTAAAGTATATTAGACACATGTATTGATATTACTATTTTTGTATATTTTGAGAGAAAATCCCTAAAAAGTGAGAAAATCTAAGACGGTTTGAGAAAATATATAAACTATTGAAAATTTGAATTAAACTTCTAATTTGGAAAAAAGAAATTTGGAAAGAAGAAAAATCAAAAATCGAGATTTAGACTCAGCATCAAATGGAGAACAAAATGTTTCTTCATATGAAGGGAAAAAATTTTCTTGTGAACAAATAGAGTTTTTAAAATTTTATTGTATGTAATGAAATAAGGGTTTCGTTTTGCGAAAAAACGTACAATACGCAATTTCGCTAAAAAAACATTTAGCTAGCAATTTCGACCTTTGACTCCACTCAAGACGTCACTTTTTTAATTTTGCGGTATCATATTTTTGGAAAATCTTTATGAATATTATATAAAAAGTCTCTTTAATATCTATATTTCATATTTTTATCGATTTTTAAAGTTTTTGCGAAAAGTATTCAATTATTTTTGCTATTTGGTCGGGTAAATGTCAGAGTTGCGACATTTTCTGATATGATATTCAAAAAAAAAAAAAAAGGTATTGGGGCTTCCAGGCACTTCGTGCCCTCTAGCCCCGAAGATGTTTTGTCACTTTTCTGTCACTTTTCAGGGAAAAAACATTTTTATTGTATATAAAATGAATTTTACAAAACCACCGTTACCCTTCTTTGGAAATAAGAGTAGATGTAAAGATATTCTATTGAGAGAACTTAAGAAACTACCGAATGGTCTAACATTTGTAGATTTGTTCGGTGGAAGTTTCTATATATCTCATTTGTGCCATACTGTATTTCCTGACTCAAAGATTATATGCAATGACTTCGACAACTATATGAACCGTCTCAAACATATACCAGACACAAACAAAATATTGAGTGAGTTGAAAGAAAAGATACCTATAGGTAAGATGGAACGTATACCATTAGATAAGAAAGATATTGTCAGAGAGGTTTTGAAAAAAGCAGAGTATATTGACTGGGATAGTATATCTTCTAGACTATTGTATAGTGGTTCTATAAGAGTTCATGACATTGAAACACTTATGTCAAAAGTTTTATATCTTAACTATACAAACGTTTTCAAAGAGAACATAGAAAAATATACTGAGGGTATAGAGTTTGTGAGATGTCATTGGACAGAGTTGTATGAAAAATATAAAAACAAGGAAAATGTTTTCTTTATAGTGGACCCGCCGTTCTATAACACATGGGATTTTCAATACCAAGTAGACTGGACTTTGAGAGACTCTTTAGAAACTTTAGACGTTATACATAACCATCCATGCTTTTACTTTACATCCGATAAAAGTGGTTTGGAAACCGTTATGAGATGGTTAGAGGACATACATGACTATGAGTTTATATATGACAAGATAGAATATGAGAGAGGTCCTATAAACCGGAAAAAGTGTCACAACAAAGAAATTTTATTGGTAAGTAAATG